AGATAGGAGAAAGAAGGAAAGAGTAATAGGAGAAAAGAGAAAAAAGAAGAGAGAGCATAGTTAGACAGACAGAAGATTCAGCTTAAAAGATTATTAATAGAGAAATACTTAGTAGAGAAGAGAGAAAGTCAAAGAAAACAGAAGATCAGAAGAAAGAAGATAGTAGTGAGACTTAGAAGAAGATAAAAAAAGATTATAGAGAGAGAGAAATTGAATAGAGGAAGCTTGAAGATAGAAGAGAAAGATAGGTGTAGAGAATAGAAAGTAAGTTATGAAGAAAGAAGAACTATCAGATGAGAAGAAAATTGTTTAGTTGCGAGAAGAAGGAGAAGTATATAAAGATAAGATACTAGAAAATAGTTTAAGATCAGAGAATCAATTAGATAATAGATACAGAAAGAGAAAGTTAGAAGAGAAGGAAGAGAAATAGATTATATGAGATAAGACAGTTAGAAGAATAGTAGAGAAAACAATCTAAATTCGAAGAGAATTTAGTGTCAAGAAGAAGAGTCGCTTAGAGTTAGTGAGACTAATATTCACTAGAGCACTAGAAATAGCTCTTAGAAGAAGAAGTTGAAGAATAGAGTGTTAGAATTTATAGAAAGTAAGAAGAGAAGAGAAGGAGAGAGTATTAGAAGGGGGGTAGCAGAAGAGGAAGAAGAAGGACAGAGAGAAGAAGATAGAGTTAAAAGTAAGAGCAAGGAAGAAGTTATTAGTAGCAGAGGGAGAGTACGAAGAGTTTTCAAAAAGTGGAACAGAAGAAAGTGAATAGCAAGTAAGAAGAGAGAAAGAAGAGTTAGAGACTAGAGTAGAGAAGTTTATAAGAAAGTAGAAAGAGATTAGACCTAGAGATAGAGTAGACAAGAGAAATAGAATATTTCAAGTTAGAGAGAAAAGTACAGAGACAGCAGAAAAGATTGTTAGAGAAGAGATATTAGACAGATTAGAGTCAGAAGAGAAAAGAAGTAAGTATTATTAAGAACACTGAGTAGTAGAGTAGAATCATAAGGTGACATAAGTAGATGATAGAGAATAAGAGTTAGAGAGAGTTAGAGGAGTAGATCTTGAAGAAAGAAACAGAAGTAGAAGAAGATAGTAGTTTGAATAGTTAGAATATTAAAGAAGAAGAGTTTAGAGAAAGATAGAAGACGAGAAAGAATTAGAGAGGAGAGAGAAGAAATGAAGATTAAGAAAGAGAGAAGATGAGTAGAGTAAGATAGAAGAAGACTAAGAAGTTTGAGCAGAGATCCATAGATAAGAGCAAGCTAGATAACTTATAGAAAGAAGATAAAGAAGAAAAGTTGATTTACAGAATAGCTAGTAGTAGATAGAAGAAGAGTTAGAGATAGAGAAAGAAGAAGATAGAGAGAGAAGTAGATAAGAAGAGAAAGAAAGTAGATAGAAGAAAGATAGAAAGGAAGAGAAGAGAGAAGAGAAAAGAAGAAAGATAAGAAAGATATAGAGAAGAAGATAAGAAAGAGAGAAGAAGATAGAGAAGAGATGAAGAAGAAGAAGAAGATAGTAGAGAGAAGAAGAAAAAGAGATATAGAGAGATAGAATAAGAAGAGAGAAGAAGGAGAGAAGAGAAAGAAGATAGAAAGGAAAGAGAAGAGAGATAGAAAGAAGAGATAGAAGAAGATAGAAGAAGAGAGAAGAAGAGAAAGAAAAGAGGAGAAAAGATAAGATAGTAGAAGATAAGAGTGAAGAGAAGAAGAGAGAAAAGAAGAAGTAGGAAGAGAATAGATAGAGATAGAAGAAGAAGAAGATAGAAGAAAGATAGATAGAGAAGAAGAAATAAGAAGGTGAAGAAGAAAGAAAGATAGGGAAAGAAGAAGAGAGGAGAGAGAGAGAGAAGTGATGTGTGAGGAGAGATTGTAGAGAGAGAAGAAGATTTGAAGTTAGTAGAAGAGCGAGTAGTATCCTAGAAGATTAGATAGAGATAGAAGTTAAGTTAGGTAGTAGAAAAGAGAGAACAGTGAAGATTTGTGAAGAGAGAAGAGGTAGATGAGAGAGTAAGTTTGATTGTGGAGAAGTTTAGATTGATTGAGAGTAGAGAGGTGTCTGGAGTGTTAGATATGTTGATAGTAGATGTTAGAAGACGTTGTTGTGATGTGGAAGGAAGAAAGAGTTTGTGACAAGAAGAGGTGTTGTAGTAGTTGTATAGAAGATTGTTGGAGAAGGTGAGAAGAGAGTTAGAATAGAGGTTGTGAGTTAGTTTGTGATAGAGTGATGAAGATTGATGTAGTGAGAAGATCAGTGATCTCTGAGTGTTTGTGAGAGTGTGATAGAGAAGATGTTGTAAGAGATTAGAGTTGTGAGATTGAGAAGAGAGATGAGTTGAGTAGTGAAGAAGGAGAGAGATGTGTTTAGATTAGGTAAGATTTGAGTAGAGAAGTGTACAAGGGGTATGTAGGAGAAGTGGAAGTATACAGAAGAAGATAGAGTAGAAGAGAAGAGATAGTTTGAATGGATTGGATTTTGAGATTTGTGTGTAGTTGTGAGTGTCAGATTAGAAGAGAGTAAGTTAGAAGTGAGATTTTAAGAAGTTGAGAGTGTGTGTAGATTAGTAGTAGATTGAAGATAGATGATATGATAGAGAGAGGATAGAGAGTAGATGTTAGAATGTTTAGTTTGAGAGAAGAGAGAGAGAGATGTGTAGGTGTAAGTGCTTGAGTTTGTGTGTAGGAAGTATGAATAGTGTAGTTGTAGTGTGTAGGATGTTGTGTGTTGTCTGTGAAGGTTGAGTGTGTTGAGTATGGTGTGTGTGAGAGTGAGATGAGTGAGATTATGAGATGAATCGAGAGATGAGTAAGAAGTGATAGATTAAGTAGAGATTGAGAGATGTAGAAGATAGAAGATTAGATTTATTAGAGTAGAGAAGAGATGAGAAGATAGATAGATTAGTAGATAGATGATAGAGAGAGAAGTAGTTAGTTAGAGTGAGCAGTGAGTAGTGATAGTAGAGAGAGAAGAAAGAAGAGTGCGATGGAGTGAGAGATAGTTGAATGAGAAGTGTGTAGTGTTAGATAGAAGTAGATTTAGAAGATAGTTAGTAGAAGATGATAGAGATAGAATGTTTAGAGAGAGAGAAGAAGAAGATTAGAAGATAAGATTGAAGATAGTGTTGAGAGAGAAGATAGAAAAGAGAGATTTAGGAGATGTAGTAGAGATAGAGAAAGATTTAGGAATGAGTAAGATGTAGATTAGAGGAAGACAGTAGGAGTGAGAGAGCTAAGTATGAAGAGAGAAGAAGGAAGGTGAGTGATAGGAGAAGTGGAAAGCTAGAGAAAGAAGAAGGATATAGATAGAGAGTATTGTAAGTATGATGTGTTGGAAGTAGTAGAAGATGAAGTTAGATAGTTAGAGAGATAGAGATGATGCAGATAAGAAGAAGGAAGAGATGAAGTCTGGAAGAGAGATGGAAGAAGAAGATATAGAGAAGAAGATTAGAAGAGAGTTGAAGAAGTAGAGAATGAGAGATGAGGTTGAAGATAGTTTTGATTAGAGAAGAGAAGAATGTAAGAAGATTTAGAGAAGATAGATTAAGTAGAGAGAGAAGAAGAAGAGAAGAGTGAAGAAGAAGATGTGTGAGATAGTAGTTAGATTAGAGTGAGAAGAGAGAGAGAGAGAGTGATTGATCGGTGTAAGGAGTGTAGAAGAAGATAGAGATAGAGAAGAGAAGATTTAGATTTGAGTAAGTGGAGAGTAGTTTAGAAGATAGAGAGTAGAAAGATGAGTGATGGTGAAGAGATTGATATGTAGAAGAAGAGAGACAGTAGAGAGTAGAGAGTGAAGATTTTAGAGTGTAGAGATTAGAAGAGAAGAGAGAAGAAAGAGTAGAGATTAGAAGGAGAGAAGTGAGAGTAGAGAAGATAGAATAGAGTAGATAGAAGATAGAGAAGAGTAGAGTAAGTGATCAGAGTTTAGATAGAGATAGTGAGGATTGATTGTTGGTATTTAAGAAGAGAAGAAGAGTGTGTGGATGGAAAGAAAGATAGTTAGTAGAGAGAAAGATAGAAGTGAGGTAGTTGAAGAGAGAGTGATAGAGGTTAGTTTGTTGTATTGAAAGATGATAGATGAGAGAAGAAGAAGAAGAGAGAAGTGTTTTGATAGATGAAGAAGGAAGATCGAAGGGAAGACGAAAGAAGCAGAGTAGTAGAGTGAGTGAGATAGATAGATAGTGTGAGATAAGATGTGATGAAGATAGAAGAGAAGGAAGTGGTAGAAGTGAGAGAAGAAAGTGAAGTTGAGTTTGGAGAAAGAGATTGAGATAGCTGTCAGAAGAAGAAGTAGAGAAGTGTGTAGAGTGAGATTCAGAGAGAGATAGAAGATATTAGTAGTTCTGAAGGATTTAGAAGAGTAGAGTAGTTAGAGAAGTAGAGGAAGAAGAGGTTGAGAAGATTAGAGAAGTTGGATAGATAGAGATAGTAGTAGTTTGTAGAGTTTTTTTGCTGATTAAGAGTTTAAGAGAAGAGTACAGAAGATGAGATGTGAAGAGTGAAGTTAGATGAGAAGATTAAGAGCTAGTATAGTAGAGACAGTGCAGATTAGAGAAGTGATGAAGGATTAAGAGAGAAGATTAGAATAGTTAGAGTAGATAGAGTTTTGAGAGAGAAGTAAGATTGATAGTTGAAGTTGTTGAGTGAGAGTCGAATAGAGTATTTTTGGATTTGTAGTGATTGAGTTAGTTGATGTAGAGTTTGTGAGATACGAGTGAAGTTAGAGAGAGTTGAAGAAGATATGAAGAGAGAGTGAGTAAGAAGAGAGAAGAAGAAGTTAAGAGACAGAAGAAGTATTGAAGAAGAGTAGTAGAGTAGAAGAGAAGAAGAAGAGAGTAGAGAGAGATGAGAGAAGAAGATTAGAGAAGAAGTAGAGTGATGAAGTGATGATGTAGATATGAGAAGAGAGATTTGAGAGTTGGTTGTATTTTAGAGAAGAAGAAGTGAGAAGTAGATTGAGAAGAGAAGAGTGAAGAGTAGAAGAGCAAGTGAAGAAGATAGATGTCAGAGATTAGTGGAAGAGATAGAGAGCTAGATAGAGAAGGACAGAAGCTTCGTTGTTTGATCGAGATAGAGAGAAGGTAGCTGAGATAGAGATTGATTGAGGAAGAGATAGAAGAAGATAGAGAGAAGATTGAAGAAGTTAGTAGTAGATGAGAAGAGAGTTCAGAAGAGTAGAAGTGATTAGAGAGGATAGATGTGAGAGAGAGAGGAGTTGTAGAGATTAGTAGATTTGTAGAAGATTTGATGAGTGATCCAGATCGCAGAGAAGAAGAGCAAGGAAGAGAGTGCCACACAGATAGTGAAAGTTAGTGGTCTGAGTGTGTAGAGAGAGTAGAAGATTTTGAGAGATTAGATTGAGTTTAGAAGAGAGAGGAGTAGAGAGAGTGTTGGTGCATAGAGAGAGAAGAAGAGACAGATGATTGATTTGAGGTGAGAAGAGATGATATTTGAGTTGATTAGATTAAGAGATAGTGAAGTGAGAGAGAGTTGATATGAAGAATGAAGTTAGAAGTGATGTGAGTAGAAGATTAGAAGAGTGAGTTAGAGAGTAGGAGAAGAAGATTGAGAGAAGAGCAGAGATTAGAGTAGTGTCATGAGGAGTAGAGATGTTCTAGTAGAGAAAGATTTGAGTTGTTGGTTGTAGGTGTATGAGATGAGTAGTGAGAGTGTGAGATTGAGAAGTAGTGTGAGGAGATGATGATAGTATTAGAGAATAGTTAGAAGAGATGAAGAGAAGTAGAGATTAGAGTTGAGAGAAGAGAGATTAGATTGTAGTTCAGAGATAGTGAGAGAAGTGAAAGAGGTAAGAGATGATAGAAGAGCAGATTGAAGAAGAGAATGTGAAGTAAAGATAGAATAAGAAGTAGATGAGTTAAGAAGAAGAGATTAGAGAAGATTTAGATAGAGAAGAATGGGGATGATGATGAGATAGAGATATAGAGAGTTAGAGGGGTTAGATGAAGATATGATAGAAGATAGAGTTGATAGAAGAAGAGAAGAAGAATGATAGAGAGATGAAGTAGTCCTGCTGTGATAGAGAAGAAGAAGAAGTTAGGTAAGATTATGGAGAAGTGAGATTTGAGAGAGATGAGAAGATTAGATACTGAGAAAGAAGAAGATGTGAGACAGAAGAGGAATAGAGTTTGTGAGGTAGAGTAGAAGACAGAAGAGTTTAGGAAGAAGAAGAGTAGAAGATTGAGAGTAGAAGTCTAGAGAAAGGAGAAGAAGACGAGAAAAAAGTGAAAGAAGAATTTTAGAAGTGAAGGAGATGTTAGTAAGAAGAGAATGTTTTAGAAGATGAGATAGTAGAAGAAAGAAAGAATTTTAGAGAGAGTTGTTTAGAAGATGTAGTAAGAAGTATAGAGAGATAGATAGAATGAAGAAAGGAGGTAAAGAAGAAATATAGGAATTAGTTTTAGAAGAATATACGATGAGAAAGAGAATAAGTAATTAGAAGTAGAAGACTAGAGTAGATAGAAGAATAGATAGAAGAGAAGCATAGAAGAAAGTTTGTAGAAATTAGAAGAGAAGAGTAGAATAGATAGAGAAGATAAGAAGAAGAGAGGATTCACAGAATTAGGACAAGGAGAAGAGTTACATTTAGTAGTAAGATTTTGGAGAATAGAGAAAGGGAAGGAAGATAAAGTAGATGGAGAAAGAAGTTTTGATGAAGGAGTTTGTTAGAGTTCTGAAGAGGATTTGATAGATAGAAGATTAGAGATTGTAGACTAGAGTAGATAGTAGTTAGGAGATATTGAGAGATAGGTTTTGAAGAGTTAGATAGAATAGATTCACAAGAAGACATTTAAGGAGTTAGAAAGATAGGTGAGATTTTTCAGAGAAAGTTAGAAGGATGAGTAGTATAGATAGAATAGGGCAGATGTGATTTTAGAAGAGATTTAGTCAGACGTAGTAGAATAAGAGATAGCAGGAATAGTTAGAGAGCTAGCTAGTTGTAGAGAAAGAAGAGATAGAATTTCCATGTAAGGTAGTAGATTTTAGATAAGCAAGTAGAACAGACTGATGAAGATTTGAAGATGAGTTGATAGAAAAGGATAGATCAGATTAGTGATTGGAGATGAATGTAGTAGAATAGAGAAGAAGAGGAGTAAGGATAAGAGAGAAGAGTGATAGGTTGTAAGATTGAATTAGTATGAGATAGTAGACTAGAAGTGAAGGTAGTATAAGATTGATTTTAGATTAGTGAAGATAATAGAAGTATTTAGAGGAGAGAGTAGATAGAGATAAAGCCAGTTAGAATATGAAGTATAGTTAGATAGATAGAGTAGTTAGATGAGATGAAGAGAAGAGATAGATTTTTTTAGAAGAAAGAGAATGGAAGTAGGTAGTATAACTAGATAAGAAGATTAGTAGATGAGAGGAGAGATAGAGGAAAGCATAGAAGAAGGAGAGAAAGAGGAAGAGAATTAGTTAAGATAGAATAGAATAAAAGAGAGAATTAAGAAGTAGAGTTTAGCTGAAGAATAGAGAAGAGAGAAGAGTTGAAAGAAGAAGAAGATTGAGAGTTATGAAGATTGAAATACTGGTAGGAATTTTTAGTATGAATAGATAGTGTGTAGAAAGTAGAAGAATTATAGTAGTAGAAGAACAGAGAAGATGTAGAAGAGATGTGAGTAGAGAGAAAGAAGAAGAAAGAAGAAGACTTAGAAGGGGAGGAAGATTATTGAGAGTTTAGAATAGAAGTTTAAGAAGAAGTACAGAGATTAGAAGATGTAGTAGAAGAAGAGAGAGAAGTAGAGAGAATAGAGAGAAAGTAGAGTAGGGATTGAGAAGAGAAGAAAGATAGTAGGAGAGAGAAAGACAGAAGGTAGAGGATGTAAGTATATAGTGATAGATTAGAAGAGAAGTAAGAGAAGAATAGAAAAGAGGTTTTTCAAGATAGCGATTCTAGATATGAAGAAGATAGATAAGAAGAAAAAAAAAAGAGGAGTTAGAAGAGGACGAAGATTTCCATGAAGTATGAGAAAGAAGAAAGGAAGAAGAAAGTTAGAGATTTTAGAAGATAGATTTAAGGTAGGAAGATTATTTAATTAGTAGGAAAAGAAGTAGAAAGGAGGAAAGGAACCATTAGTTATATAGCAAAGAACATCTAGAAACAAAGATAAAGAATAGTTTAGAGTCTGCTTTAGACAAGAAAGCTAGAGTAGGATAGAAAAGAATTAGCTAAACAGAGAATTTAGAAGATAGGTAAGAGATAGTTAATAAGATTATAGCTTTAGATAGAATTACAGATTTTTAGAAGAAGAGACTAGAGAAAAGAAAAGAATAGAAAAGTAGAAAAGAAGAGAGTAGAATAAGAATTTTAGAGAGAATAGAAGATCTAGAAGTATAGAGAAAGAATAGATCAGAAGATAAGATTAGAAAAGAGAAGAAAGTAAAGACATGAATAGTAGAAGAAAGCGTTAGAAGAAGATGATTAGATTTAGAGAGAAAGAGAAGAAAGAAGAAGGTAAGAATTTAGAAGGAGATAGAGTAGATTAGACCAAGATAGTGTAAGAGTATTTTGAGAATAGAATTTAAAGATTAGAAGAAGAAGAGTAGTTATAGAAGTGAAGAGAAGAGAAGACAGATTAGAGCAGAAAGAGAAGAATTAGATAGAATAGACAAAAGAAGAAGAATCAGAAAAGAAGAAGATCGAAGAAGAAGATAGAAATTAGAATAGAAAAAGAGATTTAAAGAAGAAGAAGAAGTGATAGAAGAAGATAGAGAAGAATAGTGATAGATGTAGAAGTAGAGAATGATAAGTTTAGTCAGAAGAGAAAGGAGATTGTTAGAATAGAAAGAGAAGAGAAGAAAGATTACAGACAGGAGAAGAAGAATTAGAATAGAAGGGGGAAAAAGGTGGGAAAAAAATTTTTAGAAGAGTAGAGATAGGAAGTCAGAAGAAGCAGAGAATAGAAGACAAAGAACAGAAGAAGAGAAGAAGGAAGAATAGATAGTTTAGAAGAAGGAGATTAGAGGAAAGAAAAAGGATAGGTAGAAAGAAGACAAGAAGAAGCAGAGAAGAAGACCAGTGAAAGAGAAGAGAATTAGAAGAGAAAGAAGAACTAGAGAAAGAGAATAGAGAAGAAGAATAGAAAGAGTTAGAAGTAGGAGAGAAGAGACAGAGATGAATAGGCAGACTGAGAATGCAGGAAGGAAGAGAAGAAGATAGATTTAAGAAAGTAAGAAAGTAGATAGAAGACTTAAGAAAGATTGAAGAAGAAGAGAAGAATAGATAGTAGATAGAAGAGGATAGAGAAGTAGAAGAGTAGTTAGAATTAAGAGAATCAGAGTTTAGAAGAAAGAAAGATAGAAGAATTTAGAAGAAAGAAGAAGAGAAGAGAAGATAAGAAGAATTTCAGAAGAGAATAGAAAGAGAAGAAGGATTTTAGAAAAGAAGTAGTAAGTTAGATAGAATAGAGAGATTAGAATGACTAGAGAATAATATTAGAAGAGGATAGATTTAGAAGAAGATAAGAAAGAAGAGTAGAGCAGCCAGAAATGAAGAGTGGAGTAAGAAAGGAGATTAGAAGTAACCAGATAGTAAGTAGAATAGAAGAGAAGATTTAAAGATGAGAATTTTTAGTGCTAGAAGAGTAGTAGAAGAAGGAATGATAAGCGTAGAAAGAAAGACTAAATAGAAGAAGAAGAAGAAGAAGTAGAACGAAGTAGAAGGAGATGAAGAAGAATTAGAGTAGAAAGAAGAAGACAGGATTAGAAAATAGAATAGAGTAGAGAGGGAAGATAGATAGATAGAAAGAATGAAAGAAAGAAGAAAGGAAGTAGAAGAGAAGAGAAGATAGAGAGAGAAGATAGAAGAATGAATAAGAATGAGAAGAAAGTTAGAAGATTACAGATAGATAGATTAGAAGAGAATAGAGATTAAGTTAGGAAGAGATAATATAAGAGAAGAGAGGAAGAGTTAGGAAGAATAAGAATAGAAGAAAGATTAGAAGAGAAGAAAAGAACAAGATAGATAGAAAGAAAGAAGAATAGATTTAGTAGAATTTATAGAAGTAGTAGAAGAAAGAGGAAGAAAGATAGTGAAGATGAAAGAAGGGAGGGGGGTAGAAGATAGAAGAAGAGAAAGATCGTTAGAAAAGAATTTTAAAGCAGAGGCTTAGAATTTTTAGAATAGAGTTGTAGAAGAAAGAGAATGAGATAGAAAAGAAGAAAGAAAGTAGGATAGAGGAATAAGAAAGAAGAATTAGAAGAAAAGAGAGTAAAGAAGTTAGGAGAATAGAAGAAGTAGAAGAATTAGAAGGTAGAGAGGATTTAGAAAAGAAGATAGAAGAGATAGAGAAAGAAGAATTTATTAAGATAGAGAAAAGAAAAGAAGAAAATTAGAAGAAAAGAATTCTGATAGTAGAATAGCAGATCAGAGAGAAATGAATTTAGGAATTAAGAGAATAGAGATATGATGACATAGAGGTAAGAATAAGAAGAAGATAAGAAGAAATTCAAGTTAGTTAGAAAAGAAGAGAATTAGAGACTAGAAGAAGAAGAAGGAAGAAAGAAGTAGATACAGAAGAAGAAGAATAGAAGAAGAAGAGAATTTAGAGATAAGAAGAGAACGTAGAAAGTAGAAGAGATTATAGAATGAACTTAGAAGTTCGAAGCTATAGGAGATTTAGAGAATATAGAGAAGAGTAAGTTGATTAGTAGAGAGAAGATTAGAAATTAAAGTAGAGGAGAAGAAGGATCAAGATTAGCAGAAGAAAAGAAAGAAGATATGATTTGAGAAGAAGAAAAGAAGAATTAAAGATAGAGAAGATAGATTGAAGAAGGAAGAAAGAAAGAAGAATGAAGATAGAAGAGTAGATATAGAACAGAGAATAGTCTTAGTATCAGAATAGAAGTCCATAAGTAGAAAGATGAAAAGATAGAATAGAAGAAGAAGAAGAAGAAGAAGGAAGAGTATCGAGGTAGTATAAGAAAGAATTAGAAGAATTAGAGAAGGAAAGAAGACAGAGATAGAATAGAAGAAAAGAGATCTGTTTTAGAAGATAGATAGAAGATTTAGCTAGAGGATAGAGAAGTAGTAAGGGAGATACAGAAGACAGAAGAATAGACATGAAGAAGTAGTAGAAGATATTCTGAGTTAGATAGAATAGAAAGAGTAGATGAGAAGAGACAGAAAGAAGCTGAGAGTATGAAGTTTGGTTAGAAAGATTAAACAGAGAGGAATTACAGAAGAAGAAGAAGAAGAAGACAGACAGAAGAAAGAAGAAGAGAAAGTAGAAGAGAGAAAGATTCAGCAGATCAGCTTAGTTAGAGAGAGAATTATAGAAGAAAGGTAGAGAAGATAGAAGATTAGAATAGAGTCTAGAAGAGAGAAGAAGAAGATAGAAAGAGAAGAATTAAGAAGAATTTTAGATAAGACAGAGAAAGAAGAAGTTGAGAATAGATCCTAGTAGAATTAGATCAAAGAATAAAGAGAGAATAGAGATTTTAGATAGAAGATAGAGTAGAGTAGTAGAAGAAGATAGAAGAGAAGAATAAAGTAGAGAAGAAAGAAGAAGAATTATAGAATAGACTAAGGAGTAAGAAGAAGAAGATAGTAGACAAGAAAGATAAGAGAGAATTTCCAAGATAGAAGAAAGAGCTATTTAGACCGAAAGAATAGATAGTTAAGAATAGAAGAGTGCCGAAGAAGAAGAATACTAGGAATAGAGTCAGATTTTAGAGAAAGCAGACGAGAAGTAGGATTAGAATTTAGATGAAGGTAGAATAGAAGAGATTAGAAGAAATAGATAGAAGAGTAGAATAGGAAGGAAGAAGAAGAAGAAGATAGATGATAGTAGAGAAGATACAAGAGAATAGGAAAGAAAGAATTTTAAGAAGAAGACATTAGAGAATAGAGTAGATTGAAGTAAGTAGACAGAAAAGAAGCAGTTATAGTAGAGATAGAAGAGAAAAGAACTAGAAGAAGAAAGAAGAAGAGAAGAAGGTTTGAAGATAGAGAATCAGAAGAAAGAGAATAGTCAGAAGAATTTTAGAAAGATCAGAGATTAGTAAGAGTAGATTAGGAGAATAGAAGAAGAGGAGAAGAAAGAGAGAGAAGAGAAGAGAAAGAGGAGATAGAAAGAAGAAAGATGAGAAAGTTAGTTAGAGAAGAGGAATTTAAGTTTAAGAAGAAGTAGAATAGTGAGAGAGAGAGAAGATAGAATTAGAGAGAAAGAAAAGAAAGAAGGATTGATTGTAGATGAAACTAGGAGTAGAGAGAAGAATTTTAGAGAAGATTGAGATAGAAGAAAGAGAATTTACTAAAATCTTTGCTTAAATTAAATTAGTAATGTTACTGTTTCTTTTACTCGTAATAATTTCAGTGATTCTTTTATGATTGATGTTTTTAAGGAAATTCTGTTTTTCAGTTTGTTTCAGTGTAAAGTTATGTAAAGCAAGTCAGAAGAAGTAGATAAGAAGAATTAGAAGAAGAATAGAGAAAAGAAGAGATGAGAAGCAGGAGATGAAGATAGAAGCAGAGAGAGGAAAGACAGAAGATAGTAGAGAAGATAGAAGAGATAGAAGTAAGATAGAATTTAGAAGATTTAAGAAGAGTAGATAGAGGAGAAGATAGAAGATTAGATAAGAAAGAGAAGAGAAGAATAGTAGAAAGAATAAAGCTAGAAGATTAGAATAGAAATTAGAGTAGAAAGAAATAGAAGATAGAGAAAGAGAAGAAGAAGATAAGGAGAAGAGAAGAAGAGATCGAGTAGAAATTAGAAAGAGAAGAAGTCAAAGATAGAGAAGATAGAAGAAGTACAGAAGAGAAGAAGACTGAAAGAACAGATGAATAGTAAGACTTAGTAGAAGATAAGTAGAGAAATAGAATAGAGATAGAGAGAGAATAGAATAGATTTAGGAAAGAGATGAGACATAGAAAGAGAGAAAATCGAGAGGAGAAATCAGAGAAAAGAGAAGAAGCTAGAAATAGAATGAAGATGTAGTGCAGATTAGTAGAGTAGAAGATAGGAAGAAGAAGGAGAGAAAGAGAGAAAGATTAGAAGAGAAAGAAGATTTAGAAGAAAGAGATAAGAATTAGATATAGAGTTAGAAGACAGATTAGAAAAGGAAGATAGAGAGAGAGAGAAGAGACAGAAAGAAGTAGTAGATAGACAGAGAAGTAGATGAATCAGAAGATAGAGAAGATAGAAGAGTGATGAAGAAGAGAGAGATAGGAAGAAAGAAAGAAGAAGAATAGATCAGAAGAGGTTTTAGAAGAAAGGTAGAAGAAGATAGATTTATAGAAGAAAGAAGAGAAAATCTCTTTAGCACAGAGAGAGAAATAGATAGAAGTAAAGAGAAAAGATTAGAAGAAGAATAGAAGTTAGTAGAAGGAAAAGAAAGGAGGAGTAGGATTAGTATAGATTAGAGTTCTTAAGAAGAAGATTAGAGAAGAGTAGAAAAAGGAAAGAAGCGGAAGAAACGGAGAAAGTAAAGACAGAAGACAAGAGTAGAATAGAATAGAAGAACTTTAGATAGAAGAAAGACAAAGATGAGAGAAGAGAGATAGAGAAGAAGTTTAAGTTAGATAAGAAGAGAGAATAGATGAGAAAGATAGGAGAGAAAATAGAGAAGAAGAAGAAGAAAGATAAGAAGTAGAGAATGAGTGAAGAGAGGGGGGGGGGAGAAGTAGAAGATAGAAGTAGAATTTATTAGAAGGTAGATAGGATAGAAGAGAGATTAGAGAATAGATAGATTAGAAAGAGTAAGAGATTTTCTAGAGGAAGAGAAGAAGGTAAGAAGGAGAGTATTAAGAACACAGTAGAGAATAAGATCTCAGAAGAAAGGTTGTATTAGATAGAAAAGAAAGAGTAGAGAAGAATCTAGATAAGAAAAGATAGTTAAGTAGAAGAAAAGTAAAGGACCAGAGAGAGAGTTTTAGAAAATAGAAGAAAGAAAGAAGGATATAGAAGAGAAGAATGATAGAAGAAGAATGAAGAAAGATAGAAGAATTTAGAGAGGTAGATGAAGGTAGACAGGAAGACCTTTGAAGATTAGAAAGAAGAGAAGGAAGAGAAAAAAAAAAAAAAAATTAAAGTATAAGAAGAGATTAGAATTAGAATTTTACTATATCTTTGCTTTAAATAAATAGTAATGTTTCGTTTTTTTACTGTAATAATTTCAGTGGCTTCTTTTAGGATGATGTTTTTAATGAAATTCTCGGTTTTCAGTTTGTTGAGCAGTGTAAAGATGATGTGAGGGGAGAATGTGAACTACATGGTCCTTTAACTCCCCTGGTTTAGAAGACATCATCAACCAATGGATTTGAAGTTAGAAGAGACAGAATTTTAGAGTGTTGTAGAGAAAGAAGAATGTAGATAAGTAGAGAAGAAGAAGAGTCTGGATAGATCAGTTAGAGGTTAGAAATATAGTAGAGGAATGAAAGTTTAGTAGAGAAGATGAGAAGATAGAAGTTAGAAAGGAAGAAGAGTAGAAGAGATTGATAGATGAATAGTTGTAGAAGATATATTAAGATAGAAGTAAAAGAGTGCGATGTAGAAATAAGAGAAGTAAGAGAGATCCAACTTAGTTAGAAGGAAAGATTTAGAGTAACGTAGAAGAAAGAAGAAGAAGATAGAAGAAGGAAGAGGTTTAGGAAGTAGTAGTAGATAGAAGATAGAAAGAAGGAGAGTAGAGAGGATAGAAAGAAGTAGAAGAAGAGTTTAAAGATAAAAAATAGGAGCAGAAGAAATAGAAGTAGCAGATGAAGTAGTGAGAAGATAGAGGAAAGAGAATAGAGCTAGAGATAGGATTAGTAAGAGAAGTAAGTTTAGAAAGAAGTTTCAGATAGACAGTAAGGAAGGAGAATAGAATTAGAAGAGTAGAAGAAAGAAGAAGAAAGAGAGGAAGATAGACTGTGACAGATTTAGTATAGAAAAGAGAGAGCAGATAGTTGAGATAGAGATAGGAAGAGTAAAGAAAGTGAATAGAAGAAGAGTAGAATTTTAGAAGTAAGATAGAAGAAGAAAGAATAGAGAAAGAAGAAGGATGAAGAAGATATAAGAATAGTAGGACCAGTAGAAGTAGAGATTAGATGAAGCAGATAGATGAGAGTGAAAAGAAAAGTGATCCACAGATAGCCTGAGAAAAGAATATAGAAAGAAGAGATATAGAGAGAGAATAGAATATGACTAGGTAGGGAAGATTATGAGAACGAAGAGAGCATGATAGGATGAGAAGAGAATAGAGATTAGACGGAAGAGAAAGAATAGAATAGAAGCAGAATTAGAAGATAGAAGGAATTAGAATGAAGATAGAGTACTTGATGAAGATATTATACTAAATCTTTGCTTAAATTTAATAGTTGTTACTGTTTTTTTAAGAGGGATAGTAGAAAGAAAGAAAGTTTAGAGAAGTAGAATTAGATTAGAAGAAAGTGAGGATCAAGCAGATCAGAAAGGGAAGAAAGGAGAGAGAAGAATTAGATAGAGGAGAGAAGAGAAACAGAAGTCGAATAGTAGAAGAAGAAGTTAGTAGGAAAAGCAAGATTGTAGATAAGAAGAAGTAGAAGAAGAAAGATTAGAAGTTTAGAAGAGAAGAGGAAGATTAAGAAGAGAGAAGATAGAAGAGAGAAGTAGAAGGAGATCGAAGTAGATAGAGTGCAGAGAAGAGAAAGTGTAGAGTTTAGAAGAAGTCGGAATAAGAAGAAGGAAGAATACGGAAAGATTAGAGAGAAAGAGAAGATTTAGTATAGCTCTAGAAGAAAGAAGAGGTAGATAGTAGTAGATAGAAGAGTAAGAAGAGAAGAGTAGAGTCGGAACTAGAAGTAGAGGAAGAGAATTGAAGAAGAAGATTAAGAAGAGATGTTTAGAAGAGAGAAGAGAAAGAAGTATAGAATAGATAAAAGAAAAGTTAGAATTTAGATTTAAGAAGAAGTGAGAAATAAGAATAGAAGTTGAGGAATTAGAATAGAAAGGAGAATAGTTAAAAGAAGAAAGAGAAGAGAAGTAGAAAGAAGATATTTAAGAAGAATTTTAGTAGAGATAGAGGACAGAAGAAAGTAGAAGTAAGAAAGAGAAAGAATAGAAGGCAGACTGAAGAGAAGAAGGAAAACAGAAGAAGAGAAGTAGTAGTAAAGAAGAATAGAGATAGAATAGAAGACTTTAGAAAGAAGGAAGAAGAATGAAAGCAGTGAAGATAGTTTAGTAAGAGAAGTAGAAGAAAGAAAGAAGAAGAGTTTGTTGAAGAAGAAAGAAATAAGAAGAAAGACAAGAGTCAGAAAGAAGAGTAGAAGCAGAATAGAATTAGAATGAGAAGTAGTAAGAGAGAAGAATTCAGGTGCAAAGATAGTAGATAGAAATTGAAGAAGAAGAATTTAGATTAGAAACAGAAGAATTTCAGAAGAAAGATAAAGAAAGAAGAAGCAAGTAGAAAGAATAAGAAGAGAGATTTTAGATACAGATAGAATAGAATAGGATTGAGTAAATTAGTATTAGAAGAGAAGAAGAGAGAATAGAAAGAATAGATAAGATGAAGAGAGTAGAAGAAGTTGGATAAGAGTTAAGAAATAGAAGGCAAGAATTAGGAAAGAGAAAGAGAATAGATAGAAAGAAGAGAAGAAAGAAAGAGAAGATAGAAGAGAATAGAAGTAGAGAAGAAGAGATAGATAGACTGGAGAAGATAAGAAAGATAGAATTAGTAGAAGTATAGAGAAAAGTCCTAGAATTAGAAAAGATTTAGTAAGAAAGAAGAAGAGAGATAAGGAAGAGAAGAAGACAGAAAGATAGAAGAAGAAGAAAGAAGAAGTAAGTTTAGAAAGAAGTAGAGAGAAGAAAGAAGAAGTAGGAGAGATAGAAGAAGAAGAATTAGAAATTAGAAGATGAGAATTTGGAGAGAAGAAGGATAGAAGAGAGTAGAAGGAAGGAAAGCTTAGAAGTCTGATAGATGTTTAGAAGAGGAGAAGAGATGAAGATTTAGAGATGTCAGTTCAGAAGAAGATAGAGAGTAGAAGGAAGAGACTAGATAGAAGACAGAAGAAGATTTAGAGAGAGATATTAGAGAAGAAGACCCTCCTAGATAGTAGAAGAAGGTAGAAGAGAATAGAAGATAGAAAGAATAGAAGAAGAAGATTAGAGAAGTAGAGACGAATAGTAAAGAATAAGAAAGAGAAAGAAGAGAGTTTGAAGAAGGATGAGTTTAGAGATAGATAGTAGATGAAGAATAGAAGATTTAGAGATAGAAGAGTAGTAGAAGAAAGAAGATGAGAGAGAATTTTTACTAAATCTTTGCTTAAATTAAATAGAAGAAAGAATTATGACGAATAGTAGAAGAGATTAGAAGATAAGTAGAAGATAGATTAGTCAGAATAGATTTTAATAGAAGAGAGAAGAAGAGAAGAGAAAAGAAAGATCAGAAGAAGAAGAAGACCAGTTTAGAGAAGAAAGTAAGAGATCAGGAAGAAGAGTAGAAGATTAGTCAGAAGGAATAAGATGGAGAAGTATTTAGAAAGAAGAAGAATAAAAGATAGTAAAAAGGACAGAGGAAGAAGCTAGAGCCTACAAGAGTATAGAGGACAAGAAGAAGAATGTAGATAGGGAAAGCTAGAGAAGAGTACTTTTTTAGAGAAGAGAAGAGACGAGAGAAAGTTTGATTTATAAAAGGGTGAAGTTAAGAAAGAGAAGAAAGAGAATTTAAGAAGACCTCAGAATAGAAGTAGAGAAGAGATATAGAACAGATAGAAGAGATCAGAAGATAGAAGAATAGTAGAAGTAGAGAATTAAGATAGTAGAATTTTAGAAGAAGGAAGAGAGTTTGAGAAGATAGATTGAGAATAGAATAGTAGACAGAGATAGAAGATAGATAGATTAGAGAATAGAGTAGATAGAATTAGGAGCAATAGCTAGAGAAGACAGGAAGAAAGCAGAATTTAGATAGATAGAAAGGATAGAGAAAGAAGAATTTACAGAAGGAAGAAGTAGGATAGATAGTAGATAGAAGATAGATTGAAGAAGAAACAGATAGCTGAGAAGTAGAAAGAAGAAGATAGAAGAAGAAAGAATTAGAAGAAGAGAAGAAGTATGAAGAGGAATCAGATTAGAGAGGAGAAGATTAAGAAGAGAAAGAGAAAAAGAAGTAGAGAGAGGGAGAATTAGAGTAGAAGAGAGATAAGATAGAGATAGATAGATTTAGAAGAGAATTTTCTAGAAGAAGGAAGAAAGGAAAGGATTTAGATAGTAGAAGTAGGAGAGATGAATAGATTAGAATAAGGGGCTATTAGAGATAGAAGATTAGATTAGTAGACTAGATAGATAGGAAGAAGTAAGTCACTAATAGAAAAGAAAAAAAAAAAATAAAGAATAAGATCTGAATCAGATCAATAAGAGACAAATAGAAATTAGTCTATTTCTTTTTTGCATAAGGAGATAGTAAGCTAGATAGATGAAAAGAGAATTAAGAGAGATAGAGGTAGAATTAGAAAGTAGGAAGATTAGATTAGGAGATTGTAAGAATAGACAGTTAAGAAGTAAGTTTAGATAAAGAAGAGAAAAATTTAAGTATATGAAAAGTTTAAGATTCAGATGAAGGCCTAGGTATAGTTAGAAGAGTTTATTAAGAAGAAAGAATATAGATAGAGTCTAGATTTCAGAATAGAAGAAGAAATTTAGTAAGTTAGATAGAATTAGAGAAGATAAGAGAAGAGATTAGAGTAGAAGAAGAAGACAGATAGAGAAGAAGATAAGAGTTAAGAAAGTAGAAAAGACTTTAGAAGAAGAAGAGAGATAGAATAGAAGGATTTAGAGATAGATAAGAAGGGAGATTAAGAAACAGATAGAATTTTAAGAAGAAGAAGAAAGAGAAGAAATTAGAAAGAAGAATTAGAAGAAGAATAGAGACAGGTAAGAAGTAGATAGAGATCAAGAATAGAAGTAGAGGATAGAAAGAAGAATAGAAGAAGGATTACTGTAGAGAAAAGACAGAATAGAGTTCTAGAAAGAAGAAAGATAGAGAGGCATAGAAGAGAAGATAGAAGTTAGAAGATAACAGAAGAAGTTCAGAGAAGATAGGAGAAAGATAGAAAGAAGAAATGAGTAGAAGATAAAAGAAAAGATAGGTAGATAATTATAGAATAGACTTAGGAGAATATAGAAAGTTAGAAGAAGGACTAGAAGAAAGAATAGGAGAATAAGAAGAAGATTAGGAGATCAATGTAGGAGAGAAGCAGAAAGAAGAAAAGACGTAGACAGATAGATATAGAAGTTGAGAATTACAGCAGATAGATTAGAGAGAAGATATCTTAGAAGAAATGAATAGAAGATAGAAAGATGCGTAGAGATTAAGAAAAGAGAGAAGATAGAAGAAGATTAGGGAAGAAAGAAAGGTATAGAAGAGAATTAGAAGAAGAGATGAGAAGAAGAAGAGAATTTTAGATTCAGAGAAAGAAAGAGAAGACTTGAAGAGAAGAAGAAGAGCAGAAGAAGAAGTAGAAGTAGAGACAGAAGATAGAAGAGAAGAAGATAGATAGGAAGAAGAGACAAGAAGTAGAGTTAGAGATATATAGAAGTGAAGAAAGAAGATATATAGAGAAGAGAAGAATAGAAGTAGAAAGAAGATAAAGAATGTTAGTAGAATAGTTAGAGAGATAAGTTGAAGAAGACAGAAGTTAGAGAGACTAGATAGAAGTGTTAGAGAGAAGAGACTAGATAGATCAGAGAGAATAGAAGAAGAGTGAGAAGATATTAGAAGATTGAGAGAAGAAAGAGATAGAAAGAAGAAAAGAAGAAGATTAGAAGAGATAGATAGACTCAGAAGACTTAGAAAGAATAGAAAAGATAGAGGAAAGAGACAGATTAAGAGTAGGAATTTAAGAAAGAATAGATAGTAGTCAAGAAGTAGAAGAGCGAAGAATAAGACATTAGAGATACTTGAAGAAGGAGAAGATGGAGAGGATAGAAGAGAGAAGAAGAAGAAGACAGAAGAAGAGATAAAGTAGAGAATAGATAGAGAGAACAGAGAGAAGAAGAAGTTCGGATAAAGAAGCAGAGAAAGTCAGAAAGTAATGAAGAGAGAAGAGATAGATAGGGAGAAGATGAGGGTTAGAATAGATAGTAAAGAGAAGACAGAGAAAGAAGATAGATTATTAGAAGAGAAAGAAAAGAAGATAGAAGAAGAAGAAGAGAGAAGTTTTAAGACGAAAGATTATAGAAGAATTAGAGAAGAAGAGATAGAATAGGATCTAGAAGAAGATAGAAAGAGAGACAAAGATAGAAGAAGGAAATCAGAAAAGAGTTAGGAAGAGTAAAAGAAGAAGAAGGAAGAGAAAAGATTGATAGGAAGGTATGGTTAGTTTAGAGAAGAAGAAGAATATAGAGATAGTTAAGTAGAAGAGAAGATGGAAGAAGTAGAGTGAAGACGAAGAAAGAGAAGGAAAGAAGAGGAGAATTAGAAGAAAGATCGTAGAGAGTATAGAGTAGAGAAGAAAGAAAGAGAAGAAGAGGATTTTATGTGAACAGTAGAAGTTTAAGAGAAGAAGAAGAGATCAAGAAGAGAATAGCTAGAAGAATTAGAGCGAAGAATATTAGAGGATAGAGATAGGAATTAGAAAGGGGGGGGGGGGGGAAGAAAGTAGAAGAAAGTAGAGGAGAAGATAGATAGAGTAGTAGAAAAGAATTTAAGAGAGATTTCAGTTAAGAGAATTAGATAAGAGAATAAGTAGAAGAGAGAAGAGATAAAGAAAGAAAAGAAGAGAAGAAAGGAGTAGAGATAGGAGAAAGAGAAAGAGTAGACAGTTCGTAGAATTAGAAGTAGATGATAGAAAGAAGAGTGAAGATAGAAAGAGAAGAGATGGAGATGGAGAATGACGTTAGATTTTAGGAAGCAGATAGAGTAGGATAGAATAGAAGAGGAAGAAGAAGATAGAATCAGAAGAAGAAGGAGAGAAATAAGAAGAGGAGAACTAGCAGAAGAGGAGAATAGAAGAAGTAGAAAGAATATAGATAGATAGATGAATAGAGGAAGAAGAATAGAAGTAGGTTAAGAAGCAGAAGAGGAGATAGAAGAAAAGAATAAGGTAGGATAGATAGAGACGATGAGAAGTGAGATAGAGAAGAGAATTAGATAGGATAGAAGAGATATAGATAGAAGAAGTAGAAACAGAAGTTAAGAGAATGAGAAAGAAGAGAAGAGAAAAAAAGAAGAGAAGAGAAAAAGAAAGA